TTTCTTTAGTCAGCTCCATAGATTTTCAATTGGTTAAGGTCTGGGCTATTCCCAGGCCTTTCCAGCCAAATCTTGAAACTCCAAAAAAGGTGGTGTAATTAGTCATCAAACCTCAATAACACACTTTCCCCAAAAGGTTTCCACAATTTTGGCCACTACTATAAACATTGCATGTTGTGGTTATTGACATTCTCTAGTCTTTATCACAGCTGGAAACGTATAACGGACTGGGAGTGATAGTTCTTCATAATAAACTGGCTTTTGTTTATCAGTTTTATATTGCACTTTTTCATTCAGGAGGTCAACTCCTACACAAAGCTCTTTCCATCAATTTCTTTCCCAATCACAAATTTCTTTGTGGTTGAAAGAAAATAACTATCCCAAAGTCATCCTGTGAATATCAGTGGCTAAGTATGGGCTAGAACTTGGGTCTTCCCTATACCAATTCAATACTTCAATAATTATTTGTTGTACCAGCCCAGAATCACTTCTTGTGAGATTAGCAAATTAATTAATAAATCATTACATCCCACTGGCTTCTGTTCCATGTATTATTCACATTAGAAGGCAAAAGCAAAGCTTTTTTTTTTAGTCTAGTTGTATTTATTTTGGCATAATAAATTCAGTCTTGGATAAAGAATGATGAAGGATCAGTCCATTATGGAGGAGATGCCAAATCCCAAACTTTGGAAAGGTAGCGGATCCCTGGGGATGCAGCGGATGCATCCCCAAAGATAGCGGATCCTAGATGGATGCATTTCTTACAGAATCTTGCTTTTATTTAATTGTTTAAACAGTTGTGATATTGTTGGTTATATGTTGCCCAGAGTCACATACAACCATATGTGGCAACCATATCAATTTGTTAAATAAATACACTCCAGAAAAGCATTCAAAGTGGGTCAAGAATGGAACAACAGTATATGTAGTTATCTCCAAAATTCTGCATTCTGTCATTTTTCTGTAGATAATATTAATGGCAAGAGAATTGGATCTAGGACATTCAAAGTGTCTCTTCCCAAAAAAGTAACAAGGTAGCAGAGATATAGTGTCTGCTATTTCAAGGCAGACACTTCTGAAAGTTTATCCTTTTCTCCACAGATAGATTTTTATCTAGAGCAGGAGAGTTCAGGATCTTGGGGTGAATTCTTTTCTACAGATTTTGTTTGGGAAATGTAATGTAATAAGTTGCTGCTTTCACAATTGTTATGTGACAAGCTGCATTAGCTCTTCTTTCTTGGCTTTGTTACTTTGTGCATACCATGGGTCAACAAAAGGTATTTCATGATATACATAACAATAGATAAGACAGTGTATTTTTTACTACTAGCATGTAACAATTGAATCCTTTGCAAAACTGCTAAAGAGAACTTCCAATGCTTCCCTAAGTTATGCTTCATTCTACTAATGTGCTTAGCATAATCTGGAGATAGATTTATTAATTATTTTATTTAATTATAGTTTCATACTCAATGGAATAGATAAGATCTAATCAACAACTGGAAAATTTCCAGTTTCAGTTTAGCAATTTAGTGTCTGATTGTCCCATTAAATCAATGTCATAAAACCACACAATATTAATTAAACATATCTTTGGTCTGTGGGAGGCTTACCTTTTTCATTCTTAGAATTATTGTAATATTCACCTAGACACCTACATACAATAGGATGGGGCAATAAAAGTAAATGTAATCTCAGTTGTATGAGCTTCTTGAGCTAGAATAATTAAATCACATTATTTATTTATTTTGCCATGTATAATAGTAATGAAAAAAATCTGCTCCTGTCTATAGTTAATAAATGTGTTCATAAATTTTTACAGCCTTATTCTCAAGTGCTAGTTAACTCAAACATTTTTTCCCCTTGTTTCATATTCTGGGTACAGTGAAGGTATTTTCTCCATCTTTTATATATCTGAGTTATCGTGACAGACAAAGAGGACGAATGAAAAATGGCACTACAAATTTTATTTTAGCATTGTTAGCTATGCTGGGCACAATAGATTTATCCAGGTTAAAAGCTCATCCTAAGAATCGGGTTCTTTCACCAACTTTAACATGATGTAATATATCCAACTTTGTTTTTAGCATTAAAATTTTCCCTTTACATTTGGGGCAAACGGGTTGAGGAAGATGTTAATGTCCATTTTTATCAAATAGTAATAGTATCACAAAAGAAGTAGGGGAAGGAATGCACAGCTAGAACCACACAACACAATGGTAAATGTGTGAACGAGGGCAGAAAGCATTTTTGGCACAAAAATGCTCAAGCCATTTTGACAGGATGAAATCTTGGCATGTTTCTCTGGCACAAATTGATTTTGCTGGCCCAGCTGTCATAATAGCCCTTTTTTATTTTTATTTTTTGCATCAAGTAAATTCTTGGAGAAAAGATTATCAGTCATATAATAACAAATCCACATAACATGAGGGAAACACGTGCTGAAATTATTGCACTGTGAAAAAGGAAAATGTTATCTGAAGCATGTGCCATATTGTTCATTCACCCATAAAGCACGTGCAAATGGGCATTTCAGGTTCTTATTTGTCAAAGCATTGGGGGAGAAATCTATTTCTAATTGAGCTGAAAATAAACTCATCCTGAGACTGGCATTCATTAGAAGGCAAGAAATGATGAGAGAAACTCATGAAATGGTTTTGATATTAGGGTTATGGGTTTGGCTTTATGAAAATAAATCTTAGAAGGTCTGAGTTTAAACACATATTCCCACAGTCCCTACATAACTTGGGGTGAAATTTATTTTCCAATTTGGAATAACCATGTTGTTCCTTGGCAATATTTTGTGAGTCACTTGCCATTGCTTTCTTTCTAGAACTGAGAAAGTTTGACTGGTTGAGATGTGTTTTTTTTTCCCTCTGGGAGGAACTAACAGACATTACTCCAGATGTCCAACCTGCTTTCCACTTAGTAAAGGTAAAAGGTAAAGGTTCCCCTCACACATATGTGCTAGTCATTTTTAATCTCTATTTCTAAGATGACGAGCCAACGCTGTCCAAAGATGTCTCCATGGTCATCTGGCTGGCATGACTAAATGCCAAAGGCGCATGGAATGTTGTCACCTTCCCACCAAGGTGGTCCCTATTTTTCTACTTGCCTTTTTTACGTGCTTTCGAACTGCTAGGTTGGCAGCAGCTGGGACAAGTAATGGGAGCTCACCCTATTACCCGGCACTAGGGATTCAAACCGCTGAACTGCCGACCTTTTGATCGACAAGCTCAGCGTCTTAGCCACTGAGCAACCGCAATCCATTCCACTTAGTAGGGAAAGCTTATTGTTTTTTCTAAGGAGGACAATGCTTACTGCAGACCATCCTTCAGAGAAAAGATGTATACTCTTCATTGCACTGCTAATTGCATAAAGAGCTAACATAAAGGGCCAACAGTCAGTTCCTCGCAAATCATGTTCCTCTCAGTTTAGATTTATATTTTTACCTTTACTAAGTGAAACACTGATAGAGCTACTATTATTCTCGATGCAATCTAGTGTATGTGAGAACTAAGTCAATATGTAGGAAAAGAAGATATAGTAGATTGCCAATTGTTATATATACAGCATAATCTCTTAGTTTCACTGTTGCAATATTTAAAAAGGAAATAAATCACCAAATGGATGATGAGATATTATGCTAATAGGGGATGAGGACTTCTTAATTATTGTAGAGCAAATAAGCTTTTATCGCTATGACAACTACAAGTCCATCTGCATAAGACAAAGAATTGAGTGTTTCTATCCGAGAAATACAGATGTGCAATTTGAATTGTTCTCCTTCCTACAATTTCCCTTAGGCCATATTTATTTCCTAGGAACAAGTCATATGAAACCGAATGGGACTTGTTTCTGAGGAGGCCTGAGTAAACAGATAGATATCTTGATGCGGTTGGTAAAAAAGGCTTATAATCACAGCAAAACTCTAGCCCTCTGAAGGGTATTGCACATCACAGCTTGATAAGATTTTTTTTTTTTTAAAGAAACCTTGTTTTCTCTGACTATCTTATCAATAACGGTGGTAGTTCTAGTTAGACTCATCACCCTCCTTGCCTTCATGGATGTTGCTAAGACTCTGCTCTCTGACCCCCTCCCCTACATTGGGTCAACAGGGGAGGAAAGACCACATGTGTCATTTTGTGATGGGGCTGTTGTGGTGTTTGGTATCATTAAGGGACTTTTAAATTGATATCGTTATTTCTTTATCTGTTGTTAGCTGTCTGGAGTTCTTTGATGTAATATGATTTATCAGTTCAATAGGAGCTTTGCTGGATCAAAATATTGACTCACCTTATCCAGTATGTTCTTTTCTCCCAGAACCAATGAGATAGCTCTGGGACATTCACAAGTAAAAGCTGCGGAATGTAATCTCCCCATGATGCTAATGGTAGTTGAGAAATCAACAGGGACAGATACAGAAATGTTTGCATCTTTCCATCATAGATATGTTTCATGCCATTTCAACAACAATCTGCAGTTTAAAAATACTGCGATAGCAACTTGCCTTATTTTTTTTTAAAAAAAAATGTGTTTTGAATGTAATTATATAAAGGTATTTTTGTCCCCATTTTATCCTGACTTTTATTAAGTCAAACCAAAATAATCTGTTCACATCTCTTTAATCAATACTGTAATTAAATACTGCTTAAATTTTCTGTATCCATATAAAACTACAGAAAATTTACCTGGTTTAATTATGAACTAGGATAGCTTTTATATATTTATTCATGTGCTGTTGAATGCATATTTATTTTCTGTTCTTTGCATTCACACCTTTCCTTCAAATCTTAAGTAAAGTAAAGTAAAGTAAAGTAAAGTAAAGTAAAGTAAAGTAAAGATGGACAGACATTTTCTCAAACATGAAACCCTCATTTAGGCAAATATGATTCTATGAATCATTCCTACATGTGTTTAAAAACACAAATCAATTGTGTATGAATTATTGATTTCTAAATTAGAGGTGATTGTTTAATACCATTTTTTCCACTTTTCAGATTGGCAACGCTTGTTTAGGAAGCCAGAGTAATGTAACAGATCCTAGCATGCAGGTATGAATCCTGTATTTTTTACACATTCTGATCACCCAAATTAGCTTCCTTCTTTCTCCCTTGTTATATGAATCATCAGCTTTGAAAGAGACACCATTTTCTCTACAATGTTATTTTTATCCTCGGGTTTTGTTTTTTTTTTTTCTGCTTTTTGTTTTGCTTTGTCTGAAACCACATTTCTAATCTTACAGCTCTAAATTATCTGAGGCAAATCTTTCAGGAAGATGTATTGATGAAGGAAGAAGACAATGAAGAAAAACTTAAAATTGAGGCCCTCCTATCACGACTTTTTATTCATTATCCATATTAGTTGATATTGGTATAGTCCGCTATTTTTTACTTTATATTGAAATAATCTGGTATTTTTAATTTATTGTTACTTTGGCAGTTTAATTTGGCAACATGTTCCTATTTTAGTTTGTAGAAATCAATACTGGATAAAAAATGTAGAAGCCAGCAGTCAGGGCATTCATAACTACATATGAATCTCTTTGCTGGAGTAACCCTCTTGTACTAAAGGCATTCTACCCAAAGGAGAAGAATAAACAATTTGAACAATATAACCACCGAGACATAGATTTGTGATGACTCACATGTTGATATGCCTCTTTGTTGTGACGTTGCAGATATCACAACCATCTAGTTAGATTTCTGGAGAGTGTTGGGAAGGAAATAGAGATCAACGTCCACAAGGACATCAGTAATCTTGTAATCAATCAATCGTAGAAGACAAATGTAGGCTATTGAGAAGTTCAGGACTACCAGAATATTTTCATTCTCAGAAATTATATTTATATCCTATGCAGGGTTACAGAGAATGGAATCCAAAATTTCAACATGTGGTTAGATTAATGACACTATACTAAGATATTTAAAGACATATTTTACATGCTTTTAAGTAGAAAATGATTGATTTATCATAGCAGGTATCTCATCTCTATATTCCAATGATACTGCAATTTTCATCTTCATTTTCTAGAAAAATAAATTTAGTCTTATACTTGTCCTAACCACTTTTCAACACACTAAGAAATTTGGAAGTATTGTAGCATAATCTAATAGATAATAAGGAAAGTCCAATTTTACAGATAAACATGTTATTTGCAACAAAGTTTGTATATTTTTCTTCTCTCTGTTCTTTCCTGTTATAAATTTAAGATGGTAGTGGTCTGTCTTCCTTGCCGTGTCTATATTGGCAAAAATATATAGAACGTCTTGATAATATACTATTACAAAATAATTCTGTTCTTCTCTGCTGCACTCCAACAGTCTACCAAGTGATAGGATTATATTAGAAAAAAAGGATAATTTCTAGATTTTCCATCCTAGTCCATATTTTCCCAAGACGTTAATAAAGCATTTTCTGAAAAATCTTCCTAGTGCACAGACATGGGTGTTTAGCTATTTAATGAGAAATATTTGCTACATTGCCTTGTTACTGTGGATTCCACTTTATATGAATGTATAACCCAGGCATATAACTTCTCATTGTGCTCCATTTTCAACTGCTCTGTTCTCCACTCACACAAACCAGTTGTACAATGTCTTCCCTTTAGCCACATATTTCTTTCCCCAAGCTAATCCGATTTGGGGGGGGGGGAAGACAGCAATTCATTATGTTATTTCTGCTATATGAATTATCATGGCTGATCAATAGGCAAGTACGCAAATGTGTGGAATTATTTTTAGTTAGGAAGGATTTGGCAGCTGATAATTTTCTTCTATTTTTCTTTATGTTTTTTTACACTTCTGCAAAGGAAATATTCTTTATTGGCAATGGCAGTTTTGCAGTGCAACATAATCTATTTATTTGCATTTCAAAGGGCCTTAATTGTCCAAATTGGAGAGTTTCCCTTTGAAGCTTATTCTTTGGTGTCCAAACTTATGTTTTCGTTCCTTGCAAGTCCCCATTGTAACATTTGAATATTGATTGTGTTTTCTTCATTATACCCACAGAAATCACACAGTCCCCCATGGATTAAACCAGAAAATAACAAATCAACCGAGAGAAAAGGAAGCAATGCTGAAGAGTCAGCTAAAATCAATGAAAAGTCTCTGTAAATGCCATCTTGCTATCTTTAAAATGTTATTCATTTGCTATCGTCTTCATCTTTTTAGTCCAGAGGCATGAAAATGTACCAGGTTTCTAGAGCATGCAATTTTTTCACTATTTTATGGATGTTTGTAAATTAGTCAAGAAATTTCTGGAATAGATTGACTACTAGTATCTTTCAGCAATAATCCAACTCAAATGGATGTTTGAAAAAAAATGCTTTGTAATACAGTCCAGTTTTTTGAAATATTATTCTGCCCTGATCTGTAACTTGCTTATTATAAATCACTCTGTTTTGTAAAGAAAAGCTATTAAGAAGTTTTATTTTATTAACCAATTCTGTTTTGTAAGTATCTTTATTGTGTACTAAGGTCAAAGTAGAGGAACAAGTGACTCTACACATATGCACATATTCACTCTGACACAGTAGTGTCTGTATTTCAGAACAAAATACTTACCTATTTCAATTTTTTGATCCTCTGGAATTGTTATGTAGTAGAATCATGTGTGCAGAGCAATATTTATTATCCAAACAACTATGGAAAGTTTTGGAGATTACATCTAATCAAATAAAATAGATTTTAATAGATTTAGATTAAAATAGATTTAGTATGGAAAACAGCTCAGAAAAAGATTGGTAGTAATTAAATCTTGTTAAAAGTAAATGGGGCTTAAGATGATCAGTTCATGTTTTATAAAATTGTACAGAAAGCACAGTTGGTTAAAATGGTTGAAGCAATATATTTAAGAATCATTGTCTTTGAACTTAACCTATTTCTTAGTTATACTCTTCATATGGATTTAATAACTTTGAATTCCTCCTATGTAATTACCGGTATGTCCAGACATATAAATAATTATTTTTTACATAATAGATAATTAGAATTCAGAGGAAGAAATGGTGCTCATTTAATGCAGACATACTAATTTCCTATTATCAGAAGTTTGCCTTCTAGATATTTGCCAATAGTAATAATGATTACATGGTTAACATGTGAAAATTTGTTTTTAGGAAGTTGTAATTTTTCCTACATTGTACTAATAACAGCTATTGCTAAAAATAATGATTATGAACAACTTCCTTACACTAACACAGTACATCCTATACAACTGGTTTCCAATCTTTAGCAGTGCACTGAAAGGAACTTGTGAAAATTCCGTATTAATTTGATTGGGGAGTGGAATATCCTTGTCCCTTATTAATGGAGATAGAATCCCATAGAGACATCATATGTCACACACTCATAGTCTATAATTCTAGTTTTCATTTTACATGAGATTCCTCTTTGCCATCTGTTCATCTTCATAACCACTCTCTGAAACAAAGAGCTAAAGCAAGCTAAACACTATTGGTGAATTGCTTGGCCCTTTAAGGGCCCTGTGACTAGAGATACCAAAGGTACCATCTTCAACTCCCATGTCATGAGCATGAGGATGGGGATGGGGGTGGTGAAAAAAGTTGGCAAAGTTTTACTTATTGCTGTAGTGATTCATGAACAGACAAGGCACTGAAGACATGTCAGCAATGGCAAAGTCAATATAGTTTCTAGTAAGTAAAAAGAAGGAAGCAGTATGGTTCCACCTTCAGTTCCATCCCAACCCCCCTAATTCTTCTTAGTGCAGCAGCAGAAGCTCCCCACGCATACTGTATACTTACATAGGACTATCCAAATGGTATTTAAGCCATAATGGTGCAATGGTTAGAATGCAGTATTGCAGGCTTAACTCCGCTCACAACCAGGAGTTTATTCTTGACAGGGTTCAAAGTTGACTCAGCCTTTCAATCTTCCGAGGATGGTAAAATGAGGATCCAGATTGTTGGAGGCACTATGCTTACATTTGTAAACTGCTCAGGAACACACAACATAAATGAGTGTGGATCAGGTTAGTATATATAAAAGTATGAAAAGAAAATAATTTGATAGCTGACACAGTGTAAAACACTATGGAGCGTTATATGTCTAAGTGCTTTGCTATTGCTAATTAAACCCCACGGTATTTGGCAAACAGCATAATCAACTTTAGCTATTTTAATGATTTCCAAACCATATATTGAACCCTTATAAAGAGAAGTAGTAAGTATGAGCATGTTAGTTCTAACCTCTCTTGTCATTATCCTCCTTGGTCTCCATATATAAATAATGAATTTTTGCACCCAACTCTATTAACCATGATAGTTCTCCACAGAATTAAGACCACTGATTTTCCAGTTTTAACCTGAAGGGAAGGAAATGAAGGGAGTAGAAGTAGAATTAGCCCATTCCTACTGCCTTTCTTCTATGCAAAAAGTAACACTTGAAGAAATAAAAAATAACTCATTATATTTATACTTAACAGTCCCAGGTAAATATCATATTCGGTACTTTGTAACTTAGAATGGTTGTCATGATCTTGAGTGTAAGTGGCATTGTATGGGAACTACTAGTAAACATGCACAGGATTGCATTGGCAGTGATGTCTAACTTTATTGACTTCTAAGATATTTTTAAAGTCAGAATTACCATCTCTGCTGCTGTCATATAAGTGCAATGTAAGAATTAGAGTTCAGAATTATTCTTGATGTACTTTACTGACAGCCAGTTCCACATTTTAGAGGACAATTTAAGTTTTAGCACAACCATTGAGAAGGGTTATGCAATAAAAAGACAATTATTGCTGTAGCTCACAAATGGATTATACAGCATAACAAGGAACACAAAGCATAAATGAGTGTAGATGAGGTTAGTCTATACAAAAATATGAAAAGAAAATCATCTGATAGCTGACAATCTCTTTAATCATAAGGAAATACACTGTACCCTAATAACATGCTTATCCATCTTCTGATTCATCTCCTTGGTAGAAAATCCATGGTTATAAGATTAGAGAAAAGGTACAAATGTGAGTTGCTTAACTATTTCCCACAGTTATAGTTACACATTTTGGAGCCTTCTTTCATTGGGTATGAATATGTTTCTTCATGTAATACCTACCACTGAGAATTTAAATTGCCCAGTTAGACATTTCAAAAGAGATTACAAACACCCTTCCTAAAAATAAAACTTGTGGCAGCATCCAAGAGCCTTGGTGGCACAGCAGACTAAAGCACTGTTAAGTAGCACCAGCTGCCTGCAATTACTGCAAGTTCGAATCTCACCAGGCTCAAGGTTGACTCAGCCTTCCATCCTTCCGAGGTAGGTAAAATGAGGACCCGGATTGTGGGGGCAATAAGATGACTTTGTATAAAAAAGAACACCGCTGGGGGGGGGGGGGGAAAGCCCTACTAAGCAGGTATATACAAAAGTATGAAGGCTATTGCTTAACGCATAGTAAGCCACCCTGAGTCCCCGGAGAAAGGCGGCATATAAATCGAACCAATAAATAAATAAATAAATAAATAAATAAATAAATAAATAAATAAATAAATAAATAAATAAATAAATAAATAAATAAATAAATAAATAATCAATCCACTATTTCACATTCAATAAAGGAGTAGAGGTTTTTGTAATGGGACACCGTGATGACCTACACCAGGGGTCTGCAACCTTAAACACTCAAACAGCCATTTGGACCTGTTTCCCACAGAAAAGAAAACACCGGGAGCCACAAAACCCTTCCCATGCCTGACTATTTTCTGAGTGGCCACATAACTAGCATATGTAGTTGAATTAAACGTTCTGTTTTCTTCTGAAACTTTTCTTTTCTTGGATTTATCCATGATTGGCCTTCTGGGGGTTGAAAAGCTCAATAAATTGTGTGCTGGCGGGTGTTGTACATTGGCTGTTATGATGCATATTTTGAGCGACAGGGAGCCACAGCAGAGGGGTGAAAGAGCCACATGCGGCTCCAGAGCTTCAGGTTGCTGATCCCTGACCTACACATTCAGTAAAATCAGCCTTTTAGAGTAGAGAGACCTAACTTCTACTAGCTCAAAGATCGTATCAGTCTTTTTTATAGATATAGATTTAAATAGATTTTTACAGATATATAGATATTTTATAGTGGTATACTGCAGAAGTGGATGGTGACAGAATCTCTTCTGGGAGAGGGTTTCAGGCATTTTATAGAGTAAATTGATGTCTTGCAAAAAAGCAACAGTGTTTGTTTTGTGTTTGTATGATTTCTGCCATATCTACTCTAGAAGCACTATGGTGGGTCAAAGTAGGAATGCTTGCAGATAATTACACAGCCACACTTCTTGCCCTCTTTCTTAGAGTCTGGTATAAAGTGGAGCTAAATTACGGTAGATCTAAACATTCACTTTTCTTTTTCTTCCAGTGCATTAGTTTGTTTTCGAGTGGTTCAGAACATTTGAAGAAAATATCTACGAAGCTGCCTTCCTCAGCTTCTATAGCATTTGATTTTCTCAGGTGTATTGTCTGCAGGAAGAATAGAGTAATTATTTTAGTTCCCATGACAACTTTATCATCACCCATTGAAACGTCTTTGCCAAAAGTTACCTTAAGGCAGGCAGTTGAAATTCACTTGGCACTGACAGAGGCAATTCTTTCTCAATGGATTTTGATTGTGAGGAATTGTTAAGTTTATATTTATAAACTTAACAATTAGCAGGAATGGGGGATTTTAGTGTGAACTTTTGAATCAGTACCCAAGTCAACAATCTATTCCCTTCAAAAAAATATTTTTCCCTAAAATTCAGAAATACAATTCTTCTGTATTAGAAGATATGACTACACAAAGAGAAACAATTTTCTGGTTATAACTATCTGAACCCTTTCAGCAGGGATGAAATGCTACTGGTTTGCACCGGTTTGGGAGAACCGGTAGTGATAAAAACTACCGGTTCAGGTGAACCAGTAATAAAAAATAGCTACTGGTTCAGGCGAACCGGTATTTCCAATGATCAGCTGTGCCGTGCGGTTTATATTCACTAGAAAGCAGAAAATCCTGCTTTCTAGGGAAGCTAAATCGCACAGCACAACTGTTCTCCCCCCTCGCTGTTTTACTTACCTAGTGAAGTTTTCTTTTTCTGCGCGAAGTGCGCATCTGGTGTGTACTGCGCATGCGCATGCAGTGTGCTTTTGGCACACACTGTGCATGTGCATGCACAGCGCGCTTTCGCGGGCAGTGAACCAGTGACGATCCACAGAGGATTTCACCACTGCCTTTCAGTCTAGCTTTAGGCTGGGGTATAGCACTGAAATGGCATTGATCACACTTAATGACCTTTGAGGGCTCAGGATGGAGGTGATGCAACAATTCTGGTCTTCCTGAACCTCTCAGAGGCTTTCAGTACCATCAACCATGGTATCCTTCAGGATCAGCTTCTGGGGCCAGGAGTGGGAGGCACTGCATTATGATAGTTCTCTAGGTGATAAGACCTCAAGCTTTATG